TGCCATGTATGGCTACTGAAGGTGTGTGCCTGCCCTGATGTGCACAGTTGGGTCTTTCTTCCTGTTACCGGTGAATGATTCCCTCTGTGGGAAAATCTTTTCTCTCTTTTCAAGATTCGGATGAACTCTACCATCATGAGAGAGCCCTTTAGAGCTGAGTTAAGTGTTTGGCTTCCCAGAGAATAAGATCCAGAAGTGTCTGGAATTTACTGTATCTGAGAGGGACTGAGATTAAACAAAATATTAAAAGCAAATGCATGTTGCAAGGAGGGGCCACTTGTTGGTCCCGAAATAATCACACAGAAACTATAATTAAATTACTGCTTGGCCCATTAGCTCTAGCTTCTTATTGGCTAATTCTCACATATTTTTTTTTAATTTTATATACCCAAAAGTGGTATTACTGGATCTTGAATAAGGTTGTTTCCTAATTTTTTGAAAAATCACCACACTGACATCCAAGGACTGTACCAGCTTTCATTCCCACCAACAATGCAGGAGTGTTCCCTTTACCCCACAACTTCTCCAGCATAAGTTGTCATCAACTTGGCCATTCTTACAAGTGTAAAATGGAATCTCAGAGTTGTTTTGATTTACATTTCTCTGATGACTAAGGATGCTGAACATTTCCTTAAGTGTCTCTCAGCCATTTTACATTCCTCTGTTGAGCATTCTCTGTTTAGGTCTGAAATCCATTTTTTTTTATTGGATTATTTGTTCTTTTGATGGCCAATTTCTTGAGTTCTTTGTATATTTTGGAGATCAGACCTCTGTCTAATGTGGGGTTGTTAGGAATATTTCCTAAGCGAGCTCTCTGACGATGCAAAAATTCCCAATCAAGCCAAATCAAAACAAGCCAAATTAAGAAATGTTCAGGTTTAATGAGAGATCTGCACTCTTGGGTAGCCCCAGGGGGAAACCAGGAAGCCACAGGAATGTGACCCCCAGCAGGAAGAAAGGGAGACCACATGTTTTTCTTTTGGGGGATCACTTAAGTACCCTGGAGAAAGTGGTCCTGACCCCTCCCTGGGGGTGGGGTCAGGACCTGGCCTGCTGGGATTTGAAGTCCAGACCAGGCCTGGGGGCTGAGATGGATGCCAGGGACTGGGGCCTATGCTCCCAACCTAAAAGGGGTTAGTGAAGATCTTTTCCCATTTTGTAGGTTGTCGTTTTGTCTTGTTGATCGTGTCCTTTGCTTTATAGAAGCTTTTCAGTTTCAGGAGGTCCCATTTATTGTTTCTCTCAGTGTCTGTGCTGCTGGGGTTATATTTAGGAAGTGGTTTCCTGTGCCAATGTGTTCAAGTGTACTTCCCACTTTCTCTTCTATAAGGTTCATTGTGACTGGCTTTATGTTAAGGTCTTTGATCCATTTGGACTTGAGTATTGTGCATAGTGATAGATATGGGTCTATTTTCATTCTTTCATGTTGATATCCAGTTATGCCAGCACCATTTGTTAAATATGCTTTCTTTTTCCCCATTTGATATTTTTTGCTTCTTTTTCAAAAATCAGATGTTCGAAAGTGTGTGGATTAATATCCAGGTCTTCGATTCGGTTCCATTGGTCCTCCTGTCTGTTCTTATGCCAATACCAGGCTGTTTTCAGTACTATAGCTCTGTAGTAGAGTTTGAAGTCAGGGATTGTGATGCCTCCAGAAGTTCTTTTATTGTACAGAAAACTCTTACATCTTAATTTAACCCGTTTCTATTAATCTGTGTATAGCCACATAGCTGTTGCTTACTGGCTAACATTCCCAGTGTCTGTCTCCAGCGGGCAACATGGCATCTCTGACTCCACCTCCTTTCTCCCAGCATTCAGTTCTGACTTCCCTGCCTACCTAAGTTCTGGCCTGCTATAGGTCCAAAGCAGTTTCTTTATTCATTAATGGTAATCACAGCATACAGAGGGAATTCCTACATCTAATGCATACTGTCCTTACATAGTAGAGGCAATAGGTCTGGGAAATACAAAGCCAGGAACAGAATAATGGTAACACAAAATATAGGGAAGGAGAAAGGTGTCTGCTGCTGTAATGATCGCATAGCGGTGTGAGCCTCGTCTAGAAGGCATCTGTGGTCAAAAGTGTCTACAGTGTGACTCTCTGGGGAGAGAGCTCTCTGAGCACAGTAAACAGCCAGCCGAAGGAAATTGCTGTGCTGTGAGAGTCTCCATGTATAATTGATGAAATTCCTGCCATCTGGGGAAATTGATTAGTTGGTTTCCTCAGTAGATTTTCTGTAGACAAACATATATTTCTAATGGGATTTATGAGAACCTAAAACTTACTCTAAGAACAACTCTCTGTCCTCTTGGCTCCTGTCCCCAAACCCAGGCTCTTTCCAAGGCACAGGAACACTGCTGCTTAGGTCACAAGGATCATCTTTGCTGCCACAGCATCTGGCTGAACCCTTGTGGGACATCTCCCCATAAACATTTTCCTTTTCCAGGGGCCCAACACCTTGTCCGATCTTCCTCACAAGACTCAGTCTTCCTTCTATTCTTTTATGTCTTTACATATCTATTGATGTTTCCTAGTTTCTCTTTAGTGATGTCTCTAAGATATCACTGCCTGTGGAATCTTCTTTCTGCTGGATAAGCCAGGGCAAAGGGATGGTCTTCTAGGACCTTTGCCTTTTCTTCATCACCTTGTTCTTGAATGGTTACACTTCTGGCATGTCCCACCCAAAGGAAAATTTCAGCAGAGCTCTGTGTATCATTTTATGAATCTTCACTGCTTCTGTATTAACTGGTTATATTCTGATTTCAATATTCTTGACTTTTAAAATCTTTAAAAATATTTTCACTGCTTTTTCAAAATTTAGATCAATGTGATATTCTTGTGCCATCATTTTATATTTATTTACAATGGTTCTGGAAGTAATTACTAGGGATGCTTTACAACTCTAGATCTCTTTTATATAAATATATGAAAATCTTGTTAAAGATTTTGCACCAGACACCTAAATGCCTATATGCATCAACAGATTGATAAAAATTCTGTTTTGTCTCATTCTCTTCTGACCCCTTTCTTTCCACATATCAGAACATGAAGTGTCAGAAGACAGATTTGTTTTATTTCATGGGACTGTCAGACCCTGGTACAACTTGAGTTGCATTTCTTGAATAGGAATGTTGAAGGCTGTGTGTACCTTAGCATGACCACTTAATACGCAGTTGTTGGGGGTGTTGCTGACCTGTGTTCACATCCCTGTTAGGCAGTACACATAAACTTGTCTCTGGATCTTTATGAAAAGTTTTTTTTTTTCCCTCCTGTGTCCTTATATGTGATCACTGGATTGTAGATCGCTTACTTGGTAGGTGGGTTAGGTCTTGTTTTCAGTCTGTTAATTTTTACCAAATTAAATAATTGGTACATCATCTAGAAGTCAAATAAACTTGGTTCTTGTCCTAGATGTCCCCTTTCTTCTCTACCTGTAATAGCCCCTTGTAAGTGGAGATTGCGCTTTAGTTTCCTGACTCCCTAGACCATATCACATAGAAACTATGTTAATTATAACACTGTTTGGCCAATAACTTAGTCATATTTCTAGCTAGCTCTTACATCCTAAATTAACCCGTTTCTATTAACCTGTGTGTCACCATGAGGCTGTGTCCTACCTGTAAGTTTCTGGCGTCTTTCTTCTTGGGCAGATACATGATGTCTCCTGACTCTGCCTTCTTTCTCCCTGCATTCATTTTAGTTTTCCCCACCTAGTTCTATTCCACCCTGCCATAGGTCAAAGCAGCTTTTTTATTTAACCAATGGCAATAAAATATATTCACAGCATACAGGGGGCATCCCATATCAGTCTCTTTGGCTTCATGACTCATGTATCTCTCCTTTCTATCTTCCTATTTCTGCATATGGTGATTATTCTAATACTTTCATATTTATTTTCACTTTTCACATTTTACTCTTTGTGCAAGATGAGCATTTAGCCTCCAAGTAACTTTTCACCTTAACTAGTCATGTCAAACACTGTTAAAATATTCAGTTATGTCTAAAAGGACAGACTATTGGTTCTACGATGTCAAAGAGAAGTATTTTAGTGAGGAAAAAACTCCTGAATTTTCATAGTGCACTGCCACTGAATTGCTCTATAAGGAGATTAATAAGGCTTGGAGATGTGTATTTTAAAGGCTAACAACGTTAACAGCGGCTTTATTTAGCAACAGTATTAAAACAGTGCACTAGACAGCTTTGCATGTTGGTATCTTATCCCCGAGCAAGTTTGGTGGTTTTAAAACCCTTGTCAACTAGAGCCTTCATCACCAAACATTTCAGAGGAGAGGGGGTGAAAGTTTATCCCTACTTGAATAAATGTGCCAAAGACAAGTAGTTCTGAGAGTCACAGATTTGCATGGAAACCCTCACCAGGGATAAACAGTAGTTGGCTCAGCATGCGAGACGGATGGACTGTGTTTTAAGATAATTGGAGACTGTCTTTTATGCGTTCTCTTTGGTTTAGTTTTGATTTCACATAATTTCATTTGTTGCTATCTCTTAATTTTTCTCAGAATATTCTAAAGAACATAAAACACTTCTGAGGATGGCATTACTACTTGTGAAATTGCCTTATTCTTTGGTGTCATCCGATGCAGTTTTTCTTGTCAGTCTTGAAGAAGTGTCTTAGAACAGGCTATTATGTTTTAGCAACTCAACACAGTGGGGATTCTCAAAGTTCCTGCTTGGTAAATTTGAATACAATGTAGCCAAGTCCTGCAGATGGCTATCTTAAGGTTTCCCTCCCTCCCTCCAGCCTTTTCTTATTTGCCTCCACAGATATGAAATCTTCAAGAACCATCTTTTTGGCTTTTCCTCATGCTTTTAATTGTTCCTACCTGTATAAGATTTTCACTCGTAACTCGGTAGGAATCTTGGTTTAAGCCATTCATTCCCTCTGCAGCTGCAGTCAGACGTGGTCAAGCTAAACATGTTCTTTTGTTTACTGAGCACGTGAGGTTGCTAACACTTTTTTCTTGCATTTCTTTCTGCAAAGGTGCTGAGACGTGAGCTGAAGGAGAAAGAACATTCTGTGCTGAACGCTGTAGACCAAGCTCGAGTTTTTCTGGCTGATCAGCCCATAGAGGCCCCCGAAGAACCACGAAAAAACCTGCAATCAAAAACAGGTCAGATTGGTTTTTTCCTATGTCATAAGAAATCCATGTTTTAGGGGAAAAAAAAAACCAAAACAATAACAACAACAACAAAACAAAACAAAAAACAAACAAGGAGAATTTTCTTTGATGTAAAAATAACTACCTGTTGCATCTGGATATTTAGCTTGAAATTGAAACAGGGATTTCTTTACTAGGAAATAGCAGTTCTTCACATAATAAATTTAAGAGAAAATTTCTGATGTATCTTAGGACCACCGTATCTTTATTAATAAAAGCAATCTGGTGTAATAAAAAGAAAGCAACCATGTAGAGCTGGAGACACAGCTCAGCGGTCAAGAGCACTGTGTGCTTTACCAGAGGACCTGGGTTCAATTTTCAGCACCCACATGGTAGCTCACAACCCTCTGTAACTCCAGTTCCAGGGATTTTGATGTCGTATTCTGGCCTCCAAGGACACCAGTTTGCAGACATACATGCAGGCAAAATACCCATACCCAAATAAAAGTAAATAAATCTTTTTACATGTGTGGTTCAAAGTGTTTTTCCATCATTCCCTTTCCATAGGAAAAACGTCTGTGCAGAGTGGCTCACTGTGTCTATCACTGTGGGTCACAAGCAGTTATCGCTTATAGGGGGGGGCACAGTGGGAGCCCTTCCTGCAGTGAAGCTGGGATTATATACATGTAGCTTACCCCAAACACACACAAACACACACACAGTGCATTCATTGTGTTTTTCACTGCTGCCTTTTATTTTCTGCCCACTTTCTGTGGAATCCGCCTGCTGGAATCCCAAGTCAGTTGAAGTCTCACCTCTTGTCAAACTAAATCCCTCAAGGCTATCGTTCCTGGTTTTTGTTTTTTTTTTTGTTTTGAAGACAAAGTTCTTCTGAGGGTGATTGACCCTTTTCTTCACTGGGCTCTATCTACATCTGTGGGTCCCACTGACTTGATTCGAAATTATTAGGGAAATAATTTCCATCTGTATTAAGCACGTACACATTTTCTCTTACCAGTGTTGCAGATAATCTGCCGAGGGGCAGCTGTTTCCCCAGCCTTTGTATGACATTCAGTGTTTTAAGTAATCTAGACATGATAAGGAAGGCGGTGCTTCTGCGTAGACTATATGCAAATACAATGCCATTTCATCTGAGAGACTTCAACCTCCACTGTGCTTTGGCACTTGTGAAGTGTCCAGGGACTGGTGTCCTGCTAATAGGAGCTGAATGTTCCCTGTTGCACATGTATTGTTTACACACCCACCCAGAGCATGCACATGTGTGTGCAAGGCCCACACACTGCTGTTAAATCCAGGTTCTCAGCCTTGTATGTATGGCCTTAGGATAGTTATAGGCGGTGGTGGCTGCTTGTTTGCTTGCTCACTCTCTATCTTGAGTTGGAGGGTATCTCTCACTGTACAGCCTCAGTTGCCCTAGAACTCACTCTGTAGACCACACTGCCTTGGAATTCACAAAGATCCACCTGTGTCAGCCTCTGGAGTGCTGGAGTGAAGGACTTGCACCACCGTGTCACACTGCAATCCCTGCTTTCAGGAGCAGTTGCCCCACTGTATTTTTCTATGTGCAACACATGCTGTTGTCCGTGCATTATCCGCCTTTCTGTTCTGAACGATGAGCGACTCTCAGAGACTCTGACCCTGTTCCTGTCCTGGTAGCACTTCCTCACCCATGTGCCATTGCACACCGAGATGTTCTCGGGTCTTGCGTGACATTTAAGATCGGTGTGATCAAAGCTTTCTTTATTCTTAAAGCCTGTTCAAGTTTTCTTCTTACTGTTGTCACGGTTCTTGTTCATGCAGTCACAAAAATCCTTGAGTCATCGTGGAACCGTATCGTCGTGGTTATTCTGCATGCTCTTACTCTGTCTGTTTCTTTAAAAATCCTTTGCTGAAGCTGGTCTAGAGAATTCTGCTGTCCTTTAGATAGAGTGTTTGAATGGCTAAGACCTGCAGAGGTGAACCAGTCAGAAACCTAGGGTTCCTGAGGGAAATTACCTGCTTGGGTCCCAGCCTCACCATCCAATTGCTATTGTAGGTTTTGCTTTTTTTTCAGATGCTAAAGTTCCATGTATTGCCCTAGGTGGAGTGTTCCCATGTAGTGGGATGTTTTCCTCTTTTGACTTTTTGAGGGACCCACCACTCAACTCCCAAATAAATTCTTAACTTAAATTATCCTATCTACCTTTTTCCTTCTGGGCTTTTTCCTTTTCTTACTTCTGTATATCTTACTTTCACCCTTTACTCCATGGCTGGCTGTGTGGCTGTGTGGCTGTGCGGCTGTGTGACTGGCCCCTAGAATCCTCTCTCCTCTTTTCTTGCTCCTTCCCCTTCCTCATTTCTCCTGTTTATACTCTCTGCCTGACAGCCCTGCCTAACCTTGCCCGTGCCTCGCTATGGGCCTTTCAGCTCTTTATTAGGACCATCAGGTATTTCAGACAGGTAAAGAATTGCAGCTTCACAGAATTAAACAAATGCAGCATAAACAAAAGTAACACACCATAAAATAATATTCCCCAACGTTCTCATTTTACTGACTTTATCCTATGCAATGCCTTTATGCATGAGCACTGGGTTAAGTTCATAAAGGACGCTATTTAAGGTGTGAGATAAAGCTGTGTTTGTTATTCTGCCTTTACCTACAGTCTCCTCCAGGAATATGTTTGTGAGATGAACAGTTCATAGTCATTTACTACCAAATTTAAAGCAAAGAAAAGGAACCGAATTATAGAGAATTCCTTGCAAGAATTCATCTCCTCAGAACTTGCTTTTTTTTCAAATCTTGAGTACCTAAAGCAGAACTGATTACCGCTGAGTGTAGGGATGGGTGGTGGATTATTGATTTTTTTTCCCAGATGAAATGAAACCAGACACCAACTACTTAAGACAAATGACCAGTGTTTATGGAGTTTCTGCCCTAAGGTGATCAAAAGCCTCCTGCTGCCTGTCTCTACTTCCCCTACAATTCTTGTACCTTGCCTTAGCAGTTCTGTCCTCTGGGTTGTTTAGCCCAGAGCTCTCTTAATCTTCCTGGACTTCTTTGTTTTCCATCACCCAAATCCATTCCATCAGCAAGTCCCATCCTCGCTACATTGAAGCTACACCAGAACCCCTTACCACTGCATCTTACTCCAGCCCCACCACCTCTCGCTTCGATTAACAACTATCCTTTAGGCTTGGCTCCCTCCCCTGTCCTCCTTTTAACACATTTCCTTCCCAGCTGCCTGGCTAAGCTACTGAAAAGTGAGTCATGTGACTCCGCTGCTCAGCTTGACTTCTTAGGTTGGCTCACTGCTGGCTGGTTCTGTTGTCATCTCCAGCCTGGTTTCCCTGTAGCTCCCATTCTGGCCCTTATTCCGCTCTACTGACTGTGTTGCTGTTTCTTGAGCAGCCAGAGCTGCTCCACTCTTTAAACCTTTGTGTGTCTCCTTCCTTTTCCTGGACCATTCCTGCCCCTCATCTAGTCTAGATCGCTGTGCTTGCTGCTGCCACCACTACCTGCCCCCTAGGCCCCTCATCTCCTCCCTGCCCCTCCCTCCTTCTCCCTTTCCTCTTCCACTTGGGTCTTTATCCACAAGTCTTGTCCTTAGTTAGTCCTTCCCTAGTATCCTCTGCTACAAAGTCTCTCCTCTTTACTTCCTTTTCTATATTCCCTAGTGTTTGCTGCCCAACATGTTCTGTGTTTGCTCTGTTTGTCACATGCACTTTCAGGCCTTCCCTCCTTACCCTGAGGAGTATAAACTCCGTGAAGACGGGACTTTTTCTATTACTGAGTACTTTAAAAAGGGTGTGTGTGTGTGTGTGTGTGTGTGTGAATAATTGAGGGGGGGACACAAATCAACATGGAATGTCATCCTCGATCATTTTCTACCTTATATTTTTAGAATTTCCCACTAAAAATGATGCTCGCCTATAGGCTAGCCTGGCTAGCCGGCAAAGTCGGGGTCTCCAGTCTTCACTCCCACAAGCATACGCACAGACCCATGCCCAGCTTTTTGACCTGGGTCGGTGCTGGCATCTGAACTCAGTCCCTCCCTCCCTGTTTCCATAGCACACACCTTCCCCACAATCCATCTTTTTCACCGATGTATTTTGTAGTACCTGGCAGTGCTGGGTACCTCTCACCTAGTTATTGAATGAAGGAATGTGTCGGCAGACCAACTGTGAGGATGAAAGACCGCCCCCCTCCCCCAAGCTACGTTTCCTAAGAAGGATTTAGGTTAGTTGGAGATAGGAGCTAACTAACACAAAGAGGTCAGAAAACAAACAAGCGCCACTACCCCCACTACCACGTGTACAGGCCCAGGTGTGTCGTGCGCCATAAAGGACAGAGTCATTGAGGGTCAGAGCAGAGACAGTTGTCCCTAAGCAGACCCTTGAAACGAGGCAGGAGGTGAGCAGATTAGAGGACAAGGGACAACCATGATGCAGACAGCAGCCTGAGCAGAATGCGAGCAGAGTGTGCTGGGAGGTAGCTGTCTGTCTTTGAGGGTTGAAGGCTTATGCCTGAAGAAGATGAAGGGGTGTGTGTGTGTGTGTGTGTGTGTGTGTGTGTGTGTGTGTGTTGACTCGGATATTGGGGGACCTGGAAAATTGGACAGAATTTGTTACTTCCTACAGTGGGGAAAAGATATTACAGTTTCTTATGTTTAAACCTAAGAGAAAGGTAGTTCGCGTGGCCTCGTGATACGAAAGCCTCGCACTGGGCTGCTTTTCCTGAGTCCTTGCCTCCCCAGGACTTGGCAGAAATGTGAGGGAGGATGTTGACAGGGAGATGCTTTGGTAGCCCGTATGGACAACTTCCGGTCGTGAAAGCTTCCCGCTGCTGTTGGCACTCCTCGGTAGTCAGCCCTTTAAAAGTTTAAAAGATACTCCTGGCACTTCTTCCCTTGCTGTTAGCCTCACATATTGCTCAGGCCCAGTTTTCAAACACCACATCTGGGGGCTGCCAAAAGAAAGAGGTTCCATACCAGTTTAACTTCATGCGTTTTTCC